AGAGTCGTGCGTGATCTGTGGAGGCTGTTCAGGGTCCGGTGTGCCCAGTGAACATTGAGGAACAGTCGTTGCCGTGCTGGGAAGGGACGCAAACGAGGCCAGGCACACGCAGAAACGGGCATTGTCTTTATTCATACACACCTGCTCCCAAACTACAGTTAATGTCTCTAACAAAGCATGTCATGCAGATGAGGACTCGAGGGTATACAAGTTGAAGAGAGCAATGCAGCAGTTTATACATCCATCTCTCTGCTGTGGAACCAGTGCCACTCGACCGTCGAGCGGCCCCCACTTTGTCAGCAGGTGGTCACACAGAAGGAAAGACCTTCATTTCCGTGTCTTCCTCCAGACACACTGAGATCTTACATGATGTTTTTCGACTTATGGTTTAACATGGTATGTCCTTCACACACAAAAAACCATGTAGCAAAAGCAGCGATTTCAAACGTTTCTGTCTATAAAAGGTATTTGGAAAGACCCTACTAGCAGGGACAGGAGGTTAATTTTTAAAACCTTTAGACTGCCTTCATGAATGATTTTGAATTCTCCACTGAGCCAACCCTTCAAGAAAATAATCACATTCTTCCAGGAGGAATATCAACACACATCTACAATCACAGGATTAGATACTCCTAAAGTTAAGCAGAGGAGACAAAGACAGTTGTTTAATCGGAAAATGCAAGCTGCTTTTGTCTTATTTTAGAAAAAAAGGCTCCAGAAAGAGGACTTGATTCCTATTTTCTGAGAAGTCGGGTTCTGTCTACTCACATAGGCGGGAAGATGCCAACAGGCATGCTTGCTGGCACCTCTTATTTCTCGGGATATGGAAGTACTTCTGAACTGCCCAGTGGGCAAATCCTCACAGGTATCTCTGAATCTTCACCCAGTGTGAGAGACCTAGGAACCAGAGGGCTCAGGGGACAGAGCTGAGCAAGCGTCCCCCTCCTCCTGCCAAAAGGGGATCACAGAGCCTCACAGAGGAAGGGGGTCCCAGAGACCCCTGAGAGTGCTATACGAGGACTACATCTGGGTAGTGGACGACAAGGCCATCTTTCCTACAGCTTTAAAGTTTCTAGCACTTCAGCAGCTGTCCCCAGTGTTTATTAAAAACTCACCGAGCACCAGCCTGCCAGCAAGTTCCACCTGAACTTGTAGTGGTTCTGATGTGGACACCGCACCTGACTGGTATGGGGAAATCCTGCAGCAGGGATGCAGGCCAGGGGCGCTCCAGTCGACCCAGACTGAGTCCATAGGCTCCTGGTGATTGGAATCATATGCAATTGTCAGTAGCTTGATTTTAAAAACTCATTTTTAAAGAATAATTGAGTTATTAAAGTTCTCTATAAAAAGTACAAATGGCCCAGTATATTCAGTGTTCTATCAGAATCAACAAATTAATTTCTTCCTTAAGGTTAATAAAAAGTCTTTGGAATTTGTGGGCTTTGTGTAGGGTCACTGTAAGGCTGTTTGATGGCTGAGTGCACCCTACACAGGTATTAAGTGACACACGATCACAGAGATGAGAGGCACAGGGATCACAAACATTCACGCCTTTAGCCTTCCCAAAGATTCCCTGACCTTACGGAACTGACAACGTTGTGGCTGACATCACTTCTAGATGACCGCCTTCATCCACGCCTGACACAGGGAACCTCTGCCGACTTTCTGGGTCTTCTAACAGCAGAATTACATGGCATTCTGAGATTTACTGTGTCATCCCAAAGGAGAGAGGACAGGAATGTTGACTGGCCAGCACGTTTCAGAAAACAGCGCCCAAGCAGCACGAGGAAACTGATTTTTTAAAAACACCTTCCAACAGTCTTTGTCAAACTGGTGTGCAGCCACTGACGAGAGCCCGCCTCCTTCCTGATGGCTGTCATGCCTACTGCTGTCCTTCTAACTCTTAAGATCGCGGTTCTGGGCCCCTGGCTCGGCGTCTGTTTCATGATCATGACCGTTTGGTGTGTTTGGTGGGGGAACAGGCACTCCTGCCCTGGTTGGGTCATAAACAAACAGGAGGTGGTGTGACATGCACACGCTAGAAACAGGTGACCTCCTAAGATCAGGGTGAGAAAAGTGACTGTCAGATGGTGTCATCTTTGTGACTCTCACCTTTTCCCCTTTTCAGTACTAAGAAAACAAATCCCTGCAAAAACCTCACATCTCCTCTGCCAAGTGGACGAGGTGCTGGTTGTGTTTGCGTCCTCCCCACCCATCCTGCACTACCACACATCTCGGCAGGAAGCCACAGGGGAACACGGACGGGAACCTACTGGCTTCCAGGGGCCTCAGGATGGGGTGGCTCTCCCGAGAGACGGCTGGCTCTCTCAAGGTAGGCAGGGGAAAGGGCTTCTAGCAGCTGGTGGGGATGTTGCTGGCATTTGGGGGCTGTTTTAAGAGGAACAGACCGTGTCCCTTGCAAAACCACTCTTGAGGACCTGCAGACGGCGACTTCCGCCAGCACCAACCTCTAGCAGAAAGCCGCTGATGATGGCACCACCGCCTCTGCCTCCGACTGTAGCATCTTCCTGGAGGCACGAAGCCCATGACTCTCCAGCTCCTTCCTGACCTCAGCCTCCCTCTCCCTTCTCAGCATGCCAGTGGGGGCTTCCTGGGGCCTGCGCCCTCATTCCAGCAAGTCTCCATGCTCTAAGGACTTGGCTCAGAGGTCCTCGACAGCTGCCTGCTGGTCGCCCTCATCTTGGTCTTTCAGCATCTTTCCACCCAGTAACTCAGGTGAGCTTCCAAATGGCTCTCGACCCCTGATCTTCCATCGAAATTCCTGATATGAAAGCCTGATGTATCCCACAGATTTGCCGCGCCAGGCCTGGGGTCGGGGAGAACTCAGAGCTAGAGAGCAATCATCTGGGCCCCTGGGCTTCGCGGTCAGCTTCTGAGGGAGCTCCTGCCTGGATGCGGCCTCCCATTAGCTTCTGAGGGCTGCGGCTGGCAGCACACGCCAGCAGCTTCCTTTCAGCTGGGCACCTGGTGGCTTTCATTGCAAAGCCAGGCAGTGGGCTGCCAGCCCATGGCCTGCAGCCCCAGAGGGAAGTTCTGCTGAGCAGCGGCCACCTTCCGAGGGGAAATTACGGCAGGGCAACTCGAGCGGCCTTTTGTGGTCACAGCGCGACAGCCCACGGAGACTTGGACAGTCTAGATGCTGCCGGGTGGCCTAGACCCCCACGGGTCCCCCAAAACACAGGCAGTGCTTGGTCCTTCCTAAAGGGTCCCCCAGGGACTCGCCTCCCCGTCAGCCTCGGACACAGCTGCTGCAGCGCACAGGGGCCCTCCTGCTGACACTTCACACAACGGCCACAGAGTGGGGCAGGGCCACAGGACTTTAGACACCAATTCTGTGGGTACCAGTGGTTCGTGGTTATTCACACGACTTAGTCTGTCCGCCACGCCTGCCTGGGGCTGCTCGGGTCTTTAAAGCCACGAGCCTTCACCAAAATCCAGCTCTCAGCAGCGTGTGCAACGGCCACATCATGGTCACACTGCATCAGGCCCTCATTCTCACTGCTTCCCCGGAGTGTGACCTCGAGTCTGCCATCCCCCAGGCGGTGTGCTGGGCCCACGGCCAGGGCATTTTCTTTAAAAGCGTTGTCACGCATTCTGAAATGATACAAGGCAGCTGAGGCGGCGAGTATGTTTTCTAGAGCAGTGTCAACCTGGAACCATGTGCTGGCTGTGAGGCGAAGCACGAGCCTGCTGCTTGCTTAGGACAGGCAGGCAGCGTGGGGTGCTGGGTGCATGGTCCCTAGCCCCACGTATTCTGTGTGGGATTGTCTTGGGGCCACTCCCTCCATTCCAGGGCAGGGCGACTGGCCCGCTTGTCTCCTAGGCTCTTCCTATCAGCTGCTCCCTCAGTTTCCCATGGGGTTAGATGAGGACACCTGGTCGGAACACACCCTGAATGTGTGCAGACCACAGGACTGCAGGGAGGGAGAAGCCAGGCCCCTCTGGAGTTCTGATGTCTACTGCAGCAGATGACAGGAGAAATAGCTCTGGTCTGGCCTGGTCCAGCCCTACTCCTCTCTCCCCTCCTCGGGGCTTTACAGGACTATAGGACAGCCCAGGCCTCTCACCTCAAAGCCCCTTCAGTGGTTGTGTGTTGTGTGGACTTCAGGCAACAGCCCGAGGGGGATGCTTTTGAGAGAACAGAGCTGCACTGTGTGACCTTTCCTTTCTGCTACAGAACCTGGCTCCTCTGAGGACCTGGCACTGGGAGGCGGGGGCGTCTCGCCAAGGAAGTGCTCCTCACAAGACCAGAAAGGCCAGTTCTAGCGATGGCCGGAAGGAAGCCTGCAGCCTCTGCAAAGTGCCTGCTGGCACGGCTGAGCTCAGGGGCTGCTTGTGTGTGTGGGAGCGCGCGGCAGCCGCGCAGGGAGGGCAAGATAGACTGCGTGACTCTGGCACATCCCGGGACACAGCACGAAGGGAGGCTCCTTGTCCCTCCCACCCCGGAGTCACCACCAGCCTCAAGGCCGAGAGGAAGAACAAAACAAACAGAGCACACGGAGTTCAGCCCAGGCGCTGGGAGGACGGCACACGTGCACAAACACACGAGGCATTCTGGAGTCAGACACTTCCTGCTGTCCCAAGATGAAGAGCGGCAGGGGATCCCGAAAGGAAGACGGCACTGAGAAGCGGAGAGAGTCTCGTCTCAAAAACGACTCCCACAATCAAAACTGCTGTCTGCAGGCAGAATCAAGTACATATATACATATATACACACTATGTAGTAAAAGCCTAATTGCTCCTGTAAAGTAGCCATTCACTTTGAAATTAGATCTGCATTAAGAAAGTGATGTGTCTGACACAGTGCCAGTGTGCGGGGAGAGGGGAGGGGAGAGAGCACGGGAGCAGAGAATTAAGCTAAAGCTTAATCATAAAAGCAGATCAGAAACAAAGACCGTCACAAACGTAGCACGGCTGTGTTTTATAAACTAATTATCATACTCTCTTTGCACTTGATGTGGCTATATCAATAATATAGATTCACTTGTTATGAAGGTTTATTATAAACATGCAAAATAAATTGCATGATGCATTTGCAAAACATATTAAACTCCTTCTAGCGATAAGACATCTTTGAGCCGCTTTGCACCTGCGTGTCCTGATGCCACAGCTCCAGGTGTGTCATTCCACACAGATTATATTGTTCTCATCCCTAAGTGGCCGTCAAGGGCGGGAGAAGGAAGACAAGTCAGTGGGGGCTGATGTGAGAATCGACACTTCGGTTAAGTCACTGTACATCAGACTTTCAGAAACGACACGCAGCCTATTAAATAAATAAGTACAAAAGGGGGCAGGGCACACACTTCAGCGTCCTGGGAAGGGGAACAACGCAGGGAGCAAAGTCTCGGTCGGGGTGGGTTGGCTGACAACACTCGTGAGTAGTGGCATGATGACTGATGGCACCCTGGATCGAAGAATAATCTCCCCGAGATCGAAACGAACACACACACGGGTCTGTCCTTGATCTGAAACGGCTTCACATGCTCGTGTAGCGAAGTCCTTAGACAATTTGGCCTCTTAAAAAGAATGCAAGCGTCAAGACAGTTACCAGCCAAGGAGGGTGCCAGATGACAGACCCACCCAATGCCCATCTGAGGACCTGATGTGTCTTTCTTTTTTAAAAACTGGTAACCACCGGACTGTGGTTGGATGACGACGTGTCAATGCTTGGGAACAGTAATTGGGCTCATCCTGGCCTCTTGGAGTCTAGGGACTGTTTCCATCGAGGCAGAGAACAGAAGCAGCGGGGACTTGGGTACTTCGAAGCCTCCCCCACCCCAGCCTCTCCTTGCTCACTCTGGGCTCTGTGTTCTTTCATTCCAAAGATGTCCTGGGAGATGTTTCCAGCCCTCTAGGCTGTGTGGGCCAGCTTTTGCGTCTCTGACTGGGGACTCCCATGGTGAAAATCCCCAGACAGAGGATATGGAAGATATGTCAAATCGTACCAAAAAGGGGCAAGAGTCTGCTTTCTAGGAAGGGTTAGCCTACCGCCAAATGTGACTTCTACATAATTAAACTGGACACTGTACATCACGTATCATCTTCCACTAAGATAATGTTCTTGGATGTAAGAGAGAAGACCCTGAACAGTGACCATGTTTGGACTAATAACCCTACAATTTTCAGGCCTCGATGTACAGCAAGACACAAGGCCGTGGCCTTAAAATTTTAGGGTTAAGGATCGTTTCCCACCGCTGGGAGGGCTGGGGGCTAGGGCGGCGTTTGTTCTCGCTGGTGAGGTTCATACTGCACTCTGTAGGATGGGGTGCACAAACTGGGGGTTGACATACGAGAACCCTTCAAAGTCAGACTGGTCTATATTTGCGATGACTAGCTGATCGGGCGGCGTCAAGATGGGCTGTCCGCGTGTGAAGAACTTGTCAAAGTTTTCTGCGCCTTTGCCACACTGTGGAGGAAAGAGACAAAGGAGTAGAAGTCAGTAAATATTACAGGGCACGGGGGCAGCGCCCTGAGAGCCTCTGTGGGAGGGGTGCAGTCTGGGGAAATCGGGCTGGGTGGGCAGGGAAGCCTCGGGGGACTTGCGGGCCCACTGGATCCAAAAGCCAGGCACAGCGGACGCTGGCGAGCCACGCCCTGGGAGTCTTCAGACGCTCCCGAGTGGAAACCCGAGGCGGCAGACATGTCGGCAGTAAGCAGCAACAGGCTGGCTGTCTCTTCTCCCCCACCTCCCAAGCAAGCATGGCTGTGAGCACACACGTAGCACGGCTCCACAGCGACAGGCTGGGGTGCCAGCGGGCAGTTACCCCTGAACCAGGAGGGCGAGGTGACTGCCTGCTTCTGGCTCTTTGCCACGGTATTTGTAATAAAGTAAAAGCTGTGTTATCGTTGCCTTCCAACTGGGATGTTCCAGAAACTCTAGCCCCTAAATCAAGCTTCCAGCAACATGGGGCAGGTGTGGTGGCCAGGTTGAGAGCTCCATGCCTGGGCCCACCTGGAATTCAGCGCACCTAGACAGAGCCAGCCAACCTGCAGGCAGGGTGAGTGCTGCTCACCTGTGGGGAGGCCTCAGACTGGAGGAGGTGTGCACCAGTGCCTGGGGAAGCGGGGCAAAGCCTGCTGTCTTGGATGTCCCTCCCCTCCAGGGTCCTGTGCAGGTGGGCCACAGGCAGAGCTGCCCTGTCAGGGTCTCTGAGACCCACAGATGCCCAAGCAGGCCTGACCCCAAACGGGGAAAAGCGATGTCCTCCCCAGTCTTCCTGCTGCCCAGAGGGCTGTGGCATGTTGAAGTCCCCAGAAGCCCAGGGCGACTCTGAACAGGGGAAGCTGGGGGTTCCACTGGGGACAGTGATAATGCTTTCCAACAGGTGGCAGCCCACTGTCCTCTGGCTTGTGGGTAGTATCACAAAAGCAACAGGAGCAATTCCTCAGATCTTTGAGAGAGAACGGTTCTAGGTGGGCTGTGAGGTGGCGTCCACCCGATTTCCTCATATGTGAAGTGTGGAGATCATCACACCATGTGACAGGGCTGTCACAGGGCTGACACGCAGAGTTTCACACAGAGCCCTGCATGGCGAGAGTCCAGCATGCGGTGTTGGTGTTTTCAAGAGGGCAAGATGGCCTCACAGGCTGTGCTTCTCACCGCCTCTTTCCCATGCTTTCTCTATCTTCTAGAAGGTCTGCTGGAGAATCCAGTTTTTTTGTTTTTGTTTTTGTTTTTTTTGAGTTGGAGTCTCACTCTGTCGCCCAGACTGAAGTGCAGTGGCCGCTCCCGGCTACCGCAGCCTCGACCTGCTGGGCTCCGGCGATCCTTCCGCCTCAGCCTTCCGAGTAGCCGGAATTACAGGCACACGCTACCATGCCCGGCTGATTTTTTTATTTATTGTAGAGATGAGGTCTCGCTGCCCAGGCAGATTCATTACACTTGTCCCACTTTCTTTTCCTCCAATAAAACCCGCTCCTAAGTGCCTGCTGAGGTGGAAAGCAAGCCACAAGTTCAGAGTAAGGTCTTTACAACACAGCCTTCCTCCTGGGCTGACTTCCATGTGAATGAGAACCCTCTGCCCCAGGAGGGTCACAGGCAGCGACTGATGGGCCTGTGATGGGAGGGACAGGACAAGAGGCAGGCACCTGACTGTTGACCTTTAAAGTCACTTGTGGAGAGGCCAGCTCATCACCTGGGTCCCATCTCCTGCACGCAGGACAGCAGAGCTTCTACTCACACTCAACGTCTCCATGGGGCACTTCCTTGGAAGAGTACCAAGTGCTTCAGAGCCAAGGTCAGCGCAGGCACAGCCTGACACACCACCCTACACGCACAGGCCATTCCCAAGCATCAAAAAAAGCCTCTTGGAAACAATAAACAAGTGCACGCTGTTTCTTCCTAGGCATTAATCAGGAGTCTGTGCTTGATTATCAGCTCAACCAGCAGAATCCACCTTCCGTGGGGTACCACGTTCAGATGCTGCTGTGATGGTGGAAACAGCCAAAGAAATAGCCCTCCTTTGATATTCAAGTGCTTCTCAGTCAGGGGCGATTTTGCCCCTGAGGGAACCCACTTTGGGGGGCCAATACCTGGGCAGGGCAAGTCTGGCACCCGGGGGGCAGAGCTCAGGGGCAGTGTGGAACATCCTATATTGCACGAGGCAGCCTCTCCCTGTGGCCCCCGCCCAAAGACTGTTGGCTCAAAACGTCAGCAGTGCTGCTGTTGGAAGACTCGAGAACATGCCAAGACTGTCAGGTGAGGCCGAGTAGGCCCTGGGTGCAGTGTGAGGGCAGGGTGGGCGCTAAACCAGGAAGCCGGACAGGAATAGCCAATGCAAAAGCAGAGGACAGGAAGTCTGGAAGCCCAGAAGCCCAAAGCAAAAGCACTGTGGACCTGGGTGCTGCTGGGTGGGGTCAGCTGTGGGGAGCACGCCCTGCTGGAGCCCAGTTCATCCACATCCACTGCCTGGAAGATTCTGAGTGCATCTACTGCCAGGGTTCCCAGGAGCTGGGACATGTGCTCCCATGGCAAGAGAACATCTGTACTTTTCCTGACAGTCACTAACCACGCAAAGATAAGCAAGGCAAAATTTCTGGGGGAAATATAGTAGAATGTGAGCCCCTCAAAGGAAGAGCCAGGCCAGCTGAGGCAAAATGTCCTGTCTCCTCTGGCCGGGTGTTGGGCGAGCGCTCAACGTGCCAGCCTGTTCTGCGAAGAATACACAGGTCTGACCCTTCCCTTTGAGCATAATTTTTAAGGTATTCATAAATCACCTTCTAATGGAAAGCTTCCAGAAGCCACAGATTTACTGCCAAAATAATAAAAAATAAACGAAGAGCAAATTAAAGAGACTCCCAAGATCTCAAAGGGAACCACAGAGACACCCATGCTGAGCAGTCTGGGGAAGGGGCTCCAGGACATCAAAGTCTAAAGCTGGCGTCCGGGGAAGGGTCGCGCCCAAGGGCTTCCACTGCCACAACGCGGGTGCGTGGCCAGCGGGGCAAGAGCCTCCTTGGTCAAAGCCTCTCACAGTGACCACGCTGAAGGCCGCAGAGCAAGGGGAGGGGACGGAGCCCAGACCCGCCCAGCTGCGCCCCGCAGTTCACCCAGTGGGACGTGTGGCTGCTCACGCTGGAAACACCTTCCTTCTCTCTCGCTCTAAATCTCCCAGGAACTTTCCCTGATCTCAACGAGAGAGAAATCACATTTGGGCAGATGAAAGCTTTGCTTGCACCAGTTCACTTGGGTGAGGAGGCCAGAGGTTGGGACAGGCTGAGGGCAAAGAGCAAGGCTGAAGTGCTTAGTCGATGCCTCGGCAGTGGGACACAGAGACGTGGGCGTGTCTCAGCAGGCCCTGGGGCGGGGCGACCGGGAGGCTGGGCTGACCTGAGGGACACCTCACCCCACGGCTCAGAAGGGCCTTTCACTCTGAGGAAGATCACACCAGAAAGTTTTCTTCCCTCACGTGGGGGGGGGGGCACAGTTGTTTTCACCACAGGTTTGGCTTGGTGAGAAATAACACTTTTTTGCCACGCGGGGCTCTCAGTGCTTTAATAACCGGCCTTCTGCAGTTCTTTGCAAAATCAGGCCCAGAGATAGACCATCTTCTTGGAGTCGAATTTGAGAGGATCCTGAATGACCTGTTTCTGAAGATGTTTCTGTTCAGAAGGGCTACCGTCCTCGTCACCACTGCCACCTGCCAAGGAGGATGATGACACCAGAGCTCTGCCGAGTCTTGGGGACAAGACACACCGTAGATGCCTGACAGACGAGAGGCTCCTCCTACTACCAACAGCGCAACCTTACTCACAACCTTGAGTGTGACGGGCCAGGGGCCTTGGGCAGCATCTTGGATCTGAGCAGGGAGCGAGAGGCCCGGAGACGGAGGGCCGGGGGCGCCTCGAGGCACCTGTGGATGCCCGAGTGAGCAAGGGGAGGGTGAAGGCGGGCCGAGCCTTGCGGCAGGCGCCTTCCAACAGTGCGGGGATGCGGCAAGTTTCCCCCACAGCCGTCTGAAGGACAGTCGCTACAGCCCTCTGTGACCACAGGTGGGTTTGGACTGTCCGTGGCCTCTTGCTCCTCGGCCGCCCAATGACACGCAGCGGCCAGAACCATCACTTGCGCCTGTGAGCAGAGCCCCTGGATGGCTGTGCGCTGTCTATGCCTCTGGCCAGCAGAGGCTCCGGCCCTCTGGGATGTGACGTGCCACCACGCAACTGCTGTGGGGCAGAGATGCAGGGCAGAGGGCAGTGGGAGGAGCCCAGACCCGGACAGCGGCACGGGCGCCCAGAAGAGTTCCTCTGGTACCCCCGAGACCAGGCGAGGCCGTGTGTTCACTGGCAGTGTCGATGGCTGAGGGAAAGCAGGGGCAGGCGGACAGGAGCACTCGGCCGGAGAGCCAGACACAGGCGTAGTGTGAGGCAACTCCCCGCCTCTCTCCACGGAGGGAGACGGGCTGTGACCACCCACCTTCCGAGGCAGCTGTGGGAATCCAGGAGCTGTGGAACGCTGCCTCAGTGAGGAGGGTGACACACACAAGCGTGGCTGCCAAGTAAGCACCCGGCATGTGGAAGGCACGGGGTCGACACGCGAGGGAGGGAGGGATGCTCTGAATCGTCTGCCTCCCCTTTTCTTGCCTCTGGATTCAGAGATTCACTCCCTGGTCGCCGGTGACATTCCCACCCACATGGCTGGCTCATCAAGGAGTGAGATGAGTCTAGGAGAACTCAGGCCAGGTAAGGATGTTGTCACCCAGCAATGTACGGTGTGAGCTCCGGGGACCTGGGATTGGGCGGTGCCCCTCCCAGCCCTGTGTGGCCGGCAGTCTGCCCACAGTGCTCCACCCGCCGTGCTGGGCGGTGGGGCACAGTGGCTGCTCAGCTGCGACGCTGACCTGTGAGAGCCACGGGGTATGGGCGACATGTGTGCTGGTTTCGGCCCTGCCTTTACCGCCGAGTTTCAGG